AAGCCATGACCTTCGGGCCTCCTGGACAGGGTGATAAGAGATTGCAGAATCATAGATCGGCAAGCAGGGAGAATTCCAGTATCTCAGCTGATGCCATCAGAGGGGTAATGGGCAAGTATAAGAGAGAGTCATATACATTTCAGCAGATGCTCCCTATGAAGTTGTTGCCATCCTCCATAATACTATAATACTATCCAATCCCCCCAAAACTCAGATACCACCTCCAGATAAAGGATGGGCTAGTTTGGAGTAGTCCTGAATGATTTCTTAGTTTACATAGAATTGACTTTCCTTTTCATCTCTATAAGCTGGAATGAGAGTTTGAAATAGGTATAAGCAGTCTTAGAGTAGAAGAAAGTTACATATATTTTTAGCATACCTAAGAGCATTCATATGTATATATCTGTACATATATTTATCTATGCTCATATTAATATTTATATGCACTTTTTTAGTCTAAAATACTAAAGAAAAGCTAGAATGTTCACAGTAAATATCTTTGGGGTCTGCAGGTGGTGTGAAATACAGACAAAGTTGTATTTTTATTTCACAAAGTATTCTTATTAATCAAAGAAACAAACCAATAACCCACTAGAAAAATGAGCAATAAAGATGAAAAGATAATTTATAGGAGAGGAAATATAAATAGCAGTTAAGTATATGAAATACTGCTTAATTGCATTCACAATAACAGAAATGGAAATAAAACTATTTCAAGATCCAATCTCTCTCTTACTAGATTGACAAGGTCACACTCCTTGATAGCACGTTGTATTGGTAAAGTATGAGGAGACATATAGTCTCACACATTGCTGATGTGAGGGTGAACTGATGCAATCTTTATGAATAGTGATTTGGCAACATCCATTGAAATGACAAATGTAAAAACTCATCGATCTAGCAATTTCTCTTTAAAGAGTTTATGGCAGAAATAAATCAAGATACATGTAAAATGATGTAAGTATACTCATTTACTGCAACACACTTACAATAGCAAAGTGTCAGAATATTAGAAGGAAACTGGTTAAATATAATATTGGTACAATAAAATTCTATGAACTTCTTTATGTACTGATATGGAATGATATCTAAGTTACCATGAGCGGGGGAAAGCAGAATTAGCAGTATGTATAGTGTGCAGTCCCCTCTAATGAGACTCAGAGACAAGCTATTAATGGTGCCACAGAAGAACATCTGAGTTTGTCACCACTGCTGCAGTGGGTGCTGCTCCAGGCAGGTCCCCCCATGTCCAGCCCGAGCCACAGTGCAGCCTGGAGTTCATGCCCAGGGCTGGATAGCTTGCACTCAGGTTGCCTTGCCCCTTTCTTCTGGCCCACACCTCACCACTCCTTGCTGACCTTCTACCTCCTCTGTGCCCTCACTCCTACGCTAACTGAATCTCATCTCATTCTGACGTGCCCACCCATTGCACTGCAGCAGCAGGTGTGGCCAGTGGAAGGGGGTGCTTGGCCCAGCCAACCTTTGTCTCTGTGACTAGGGGAGGCACACACCATTTTTCTTTCTTTACCACCTTTCCTAGCCCCTGAACTAGGTAGGGCAGTACCCTGGAGGTTAGGAAGGTAAGCAGGAGGGGCTGATCCCTCTACCCCCTTCACAGATGCCCTAATCCTCCCTGCCCTCATCCTGGAATCTGAATATTTATTGCTGCAATGGAGATGTGCAGTCTCCTTTTATCCAGGTGAGGTCCAGAGAGTCCAGGTTTCCTGCGGCAGCTACTTAAGGTGGGTTTGGACCGCTCACCCAAACAGCCTGCTTTCACTCTTGGCCTGTTTCTCCTTTCCTGATACGGGGCACCAATAATCTAGCTCTGTCCACCCCCCTCAGCTTTCCCCTCCTCTTCCTGCCCCTGGGTTCTGGTTCCATCTTTTCTCTGTTCACAGGCTACCACTGACAGCTGTGTCATTTTTGTTCAATGTGTTATTCTTAGCCATCCATCATTGCTGCTGCTGCTCCCAGTGTCAAATGTTCTTCCTGATCTTATCACTTGTTCTGTTCACATCTCCCTCCCCCCCAGATGTCTCCTGGGGGAAGGAGGCTGGAGTGCAGCTGGCTGGGTTTCCCACTGCTCAGTTCCAGAGAGAGTGGGCCCTGGCCCCGGGATGCTGTAGCAGAGTGTTTCCTATTGAAGAATAGGGATCAACTTCCCCCGATTCTGCCCAGAGGAAGTAGACATAATTTGTCCCAGTCTGGGAGTCCCCATTGGGTATCCTATTTTAGTCACTTGAATAAAAATATTTCTTTTTTCCTGAAAAAAAAAATACAAGATAAAAACAAAACCCAGTATGTATCATGCTACCACCATTTAAGAAGAACAAAAATCTTGCTCTCTTGTGTGTGTGTGTATGTGTGTGTATCTCAAACTATATATAGTCAATCATGTTATGAGTGTTCTATATGTCTGTTTAGTCACTCATCTAATCACAATGGCCTTATGAGATTGGCACTATTATTATCACAATTTTACCATCATCATTTTGTAGATGAGGAACTTGGGTCACAGAGGAGTTATGTACTTGTGGGAGCAGAGAGGGGGTGAGTGAGAGGCCAGTAGGCTTCACAGTGGGATGCAGGAAGATGAAGGAGACATTGTACTTCATATTTTTCTATACCTTTTACCCTGTACAAGGTGGTACCTATTATTATGTAAATAAAAATATGTGTTGGTCATGGCATTACACATGCACTGTTGTACTATATTCACCCAAAGGTGCCCATCTGTAGACACAGTCTGGGAGAAGGAACATTAAATCAGGAAACAGAGCATCTCAGTTATGGTCCACTGTCATGAATGTATTTTCTCTGGGCCTTGTTATCGCCTTTCATCAAACACGAATGCTTGGGGGCGATATGGTGATACTCAGTTATATCAGTCTTGTCTAACCTAGTTGACCATCCATGTCATCTGAGAAACTTAAAAATATGTAGTTTCTCAAGCTCCCATGAATATGTATTCTGATTTAATACAAAGATAGGAATGCAATTTGAGAAAAATTATCGGTAGAAGGTATGTGTGCTTGCTTGGGAGAGAGTCCTACCCCAGTGGGATGTGCTCATGCCACAATACCTTTTCTTCCATTTCTCCTGCCCTTCAGGATTTTAGGGATGCACACACACACACACATGCCTGGCATGTGTATTACAATACAGGGACTGGGACTCAAAACATGGCTGGCCATATGGGATCCAACTCCTTTAACTACTGAGCTATGAGGCCAGTGTTAAGAACCTGTATTTTTCTAAAGCCCCCACCTTAGGCAATTCTGATATAAAACTGGGTTTAGAAACCCTGGAACAAATGACGCTTCAGGGATTTCTGTCATCTCTAAAATTCCATGTCCTGTAAAGTACTGAGTATCATGTCAGAGCCAAGTAAACCATTTGCCATTCAGTCTTCAGTCCTTCTAGGTCTTCTTAGAGGCTGCCTTATTCCCAGGCCCATTTAAAAAGAAAGGGGAAAGGGTGGTACCCCTTGGTCCAGATCATCACCTGCATTTCACCAAATGCTGGATTCCAGAGTGTGTGGCCTTCGGCTCCAAAGCTGCCATTATCATTACAGCAGGATGATGAGGTTCCAGAGCCCAAAATGGAGACAGACATTTTGGCCCATCTCAGAATTTACACATACATCTTCATCCTTAGGCCTCTAATCTCTTTCCAAAGGCACTTTATTCCCTGGGATTATCCCCTTTAGTCTCTTTCCAAAGACATTTTATTCCCTGGGATGACACGTTGAGTATGTTGTATGCTAACTGCAACTTCTGCCAGATGATCTTCAAGGTTGGAGCTCTTAGAAAAAGTGTACATCAGGCCCAACTGTGATGGAGGATATGCTCCTCTGTGGCTGAGGCCACATGGGAGGCCTGAGTTCGATTCCTGATCCAACCTAAACAGGCTGGACATGGTATTACACACATGTTGCCCTAGCTAACTGGGAGGCTGGGGCAGGAGGATTGCAACAGTGATATCCTATCAAAAATATCTCTTTCTGTCACATACATACATATATGCACACACATATACATTTTAATGCAATGTTTGAATATTCAGTGATCTGCTTCCTCCCTTCCTCTCTTCCTTCTTTTCTTTTCCCTCTTTTTCCCTTCCTCCTTCCTTTACTTCTGCCTCCTTCCCCCTCCTTCTTCTCTTTATTGTCCCATATTTCCTCTTTCTTCTATCAAGGGAAGACCTGGTGATGGGGCAGTAAGTCTTGACTACAGCTCTTCCCACCCACTCAGAGAGAAGTGTGTGTTCAGTTCACTGAGCAGCCCAGAAAGAACGTGGCTCCCCAGCCTCTTGCAGTTTTATGGCGAGTCTCTCTCCATTTCACAGGGCAGTTATTACTCATAATTGGTGCTCACCGGCCAAGCCCAAACAAACGTGTGGCACACTCCACATACCACACACAGACACAAATATTTTCCCTGCTCACACGGGCTGGGATGAGGATGCCATTCTCACCTCGGAGGAGCCACATGACCAGACCTTCCGCAGTAGCCTCAGCCCATGGCAGGAGGAACAGGGCAGCCAGCTTTGAGCATTCTGGTTTTTCAGGACTAGCATCTATGAAAAGAGGCATTCACTGCCACCGTGCCTCCAGAAAAGATGTGGCAGAGGAGTCCCCCTTTTCAGAGTGTGTGGCTGATTCTCCTTCTTCTCTTCAGCTGGGCTAATGATGGCTGCCCTTATATTTGGCCATGATGACAGGTCTTTCCGAAGATGTATTTTTACCCTCTGGACAAATAGCAGTTGGGACGAGTGGAGCTCTTTTTATGAGTTGAGGTACTCAGAGATGGAAAATAAACAGCTAGTTAATGAGACGTTCTTATGGAAACTGGCATAAATAATAACAAAGAAAACATCCTGTTCCTTCTGCCAACACCCTTGGGTGAGGGGATATAAAAGCTGCTGTCCAGCTGGCCACTGTCAGACTTGGGGAACTCCGGCTGCCCTACTGACCTGCCATCTGCCCAGCCGGGACCATGGGGTGCTGCCCAGGGGATTGCTTCACCTGCTGCACTCAAGAACAAAACTGCTGTGAGGAGTGCTGTTGCACACCTGCCTGCTGCGGCTGCTGCGGGGCCTGCTGCGGGGCCTGCTGTGGCTGTGGCTCTGGTTGTGGAGGCGGCTGCTGTGGATCTTCCTGCTGTGGAGGATCTGGCTGTGGGGGCTGTGGGGGCTGTGGGGGAGGTTGTGGAGGCTGCTGTGGATCTTGCTGTGGTTCCGGTTGCTGTGGCTCCGGGGGCTGTGGACCTATTTGCTGCCAGCCCTCACCTGTATGCGACACGAAATGAAGATCTTCCTCCCACCACTGAAAGCCGTCACCTGGAGACTCCCTTGCCTCCAGAACCTTCCATGCACCCTGGACAGTGTCTGGCCTCTCATGTTATTTGTGGAGGAGGGCTTGTTCTTCAACGCCTGCCCTGGTGTTTCAAGTCACTGAGCCATATCCTGGCGAGAAATTAAAACTGGGTCCCGACAAAGTGATCCCTGAGCTCAAGTGGTGAATTCCATGGCTTTATGCGTGTGAAATTAAATGTCTTGTCACTATGCGGCATCTTTTATTCAAGGTGTCTTTGGGACTGATTCTCCTTGCTGGCTTTCTGCTGCTTTTGAGATGCAAATATCACCCTTGTTAACCTCTTAATAAATTCAAGCATGCTGGCATAACCTGATTAGTTCTTTTGCCTCTTCCTTCACGGGCTCCTGGACTGATTAGGACAATCTGCTCTGGCACCCACAGGAGGGTTTTTGAAATGTGGATTGTGGATCACCTGCATTAGCATCAGAAGGAGGCTGGTTAAAATTGGAGGTTCTGAGGCCCTCCCTGAGACATGCAGAATTGGAACTCACATGAGGATGGCCTGGGAGTCTGTTTTTAACAAGAACCTCTGATAATTCTTATACACTGAGGTTTGAGAACCATAGATGTAGATTAAAACTTCCATATGCTGCATGAGATTCACTTGAGGAGGTTTTTAAACATACAGATCCTTTGGCTTCAACAGTGAGATTTTATTCATTAACTCTAGGGCCTAGGGTGCCTTGGAATCTGCCTTTTTTAAGTTCCCAGGTAAATGCTGATGCTGACAAAATTTAATCTTGATTCCGTGGCATGGCTTCCTTCTGCACTACAGTTCTAGGAGAGTTCTTCGGGAGGGCTTCAGCTTTGGTCATAATTTTCAGGCATAGTCGGGAAGAGGCTTTGGTAGGACAAAGCTTGGTTTTGAATAGAATAGATTCTTGTGGCCCACTTTGTAAATGTACAGTTTTTTTCCTTTCTTTTTTATCTTTTTGTTTCTTTCCCTTTCTTCTTCTTCTTCTTTTTTTTTTTTAGAGGTTTTTGCTTTAGGGCACGTGTGCTCACCAGAAAGACAAAGAGAGAGAGAGAGATAGAAAGCAAGAAATCACCCCCCAGGGGGAACGGCCATGCCGCGATCCCGTCTCCTCCATTCTCCTCTCGGGATCTTGGGCACGCACGCATGTGTGCCCGGAGTGAGTTTAAGCCACCGGGTCCGGGACTCGAACCGCTGTTGACTACATGGGAGTCAAGCGACATAGCCATTACGCTAACTGCTGGTCCCCAAATGCTCCTCAAACCCCTTTCTTCTTCTTCTTCATTTCTTTCTTTTCTTTCTTCTTTCTTCCTTTTTTTTCCTTTTCTTTCTCTTTTTTTCTTTCTTTTTCTTTCTCTTTCTTTCTTTTCTTTCTTTCTTTCTTTCTTTCTTTCTTTCTTCCTTCCTTCCTTCCTTCCTTCCTTCCTTCCTTCCTTCCTTCCTTCCTTCTTTTTCTTTTTTATTTATTTCTCTTTCTTCTTTCTTTCTCTCTCTTTCTTTTCCTTCTTTCTCTCTCTTTCACTTTCTTTCTTTTTCTTTCTCTCTTCCTCACTTTCCTTCTTTCCTTCCTCCCTTTCATCTCTTTCACTCTTAATTTAAGTTTTGTACAGAGGGCATGTGCACTCTCTGGAGAGAGAGAGGGAGAGAAGAAGAAAGTGAGAAAGTATCCTCCACTGGGCATGGTCATGCCACAATCTCTTCTTCTACATCTCTGCTTCCTTTTGGGATTTTGGGCACACATGCACATGTGCCTGGTATGTTTTTCAAGCCTCCAGGTCCAGGACCCAAACCATGTCATTGGACATTTGGGATCCAGTTGTCTTAAGCACCACGTCATGAGCTGGACCAATTGCATAGTTTCTAAGGATGTTCTGGGCAGTCTAGTTCCTTTCTCCAATTTCAAGCTTGGGCCCAGTTTCACTCTTCTGCGTCAGGTTTTCTTGTCCAGGAACCAGTCGCATTTCTTCTGCTCTAGTCCCGGGGAGGAGTGGGTCAGTATAAATGTTAGGTGGGGCCTGACTCAGGAGTGTGGGTCCTCTAGGGGGTTAAAGTTCAAAAGATTGTTTATTTAACTTCTTACTAAAGATGATCTTAAACTATGTGTAGAATAAAATTAATTCTGCTCTTGCTCTAGAAAACAATATTCTTATTTCTATAGAGCAAGGTTTTGTTCAATAAATACAACCTTTTTACCCCTGTCCTTAGGTATAACGATGATTCCTAAAAATATAAAAAGACCACAGAAAATATAAAGAAGAAATAACAACCATGCAAATTCTTTTTTTTTTTTTTTTCTGGTCAAAGGACTTTCTTTTTTCTTTTCCTTTTTTTCCTTTTTTTATTTCATTTTTAAAAATACATTCAATTATCTTTTTTAGCTTACAAGTTGAATATTTCAATATGTAAACATTTCTCCCTAGTCCCGTTGATTAAACTATAAAATATCTTCAACAGCTAATACCACATTTCTTTGTCCCATTAATGCTTTGCCTCTGTATTTTTCTTCTAAATGTCCTTCTTCAGGCCCTACTCTCCCACACACACATTATATCTGGTATTTACACCCATTTATTGTGTTTATATATCTTTTGGTCAATCAGTTCCAGTCAAAGAGTGTGGACCATGCAAATTCTTATCACTTATATTTTTTCATTGCTATACATCTTTTTAGACTCCTTTTATGAGCCTATTTATGAATAAAAGTGGGATGGGCCCAGCTGCAGTGATGCTCATGGGAGGGTGTCACTGAGGATACACAGGAGGCCTGGGTTTGGTTTCTGGCCCAACCTAAATGGACTAGGTATAGTGGTTGCATAGGTGGCTTGCCATGTGGAGAGACTATCAAAAATACCCATCTCTCTCTCCCTTCTGCACTCACTCTCTCTCTCACAAAAATAACAACAACAACAACAAAATGGGATTATGCTGCCTTTTTTTAAAATTGCAATTTCTTATTTACATATAATCACTATCCATCTTTGTGGGGTTTCGTAGAGTTTTTAAAGCATTTTTACAGCATTTAATAATCCAATCAACGATATAAACATATTCACCAGCTTCAACATTTGATATTACATTACATTATGCACACATGAGAGTTGTTCTATTCAATTTTTTTTGAAAAAAGTATATATTGAAGGCCAGCCAGTGGTGTGATGGTTAAGGTGGCTAGATCCTACATGACCAACTATGGTTTGAGTCCCAGACCCAGTGGTTTGAAAATCATGCTGGGAAAAAACAAACAATACATTTAACTGACATAAAAACAAAAAGTTCTCTGCTGATGATAATATATATGGTAATGTCTTTTTATTTTTATTTATTTATTTTTTCTTTTTTTTGGGGAGACGTTTTTGCTAAAGGGCACATGCGCTCGCCAGACAGAGAGAGACAGAGAGGTAGAAAGCGAGAAATCACTCCCAGGGGGAATGGCCACGCTGCAATCCCTTCTCCTCCATTCTCCTCTTGGGATCTTGGGCACACACGCACACGCGCCCGGTGTGAGTTTAAGCCACCAGGCCTGGGACGCGAACCGCAGTCGACTACGTGAGAGTCCAGTGACATAGCCATTACGCTAACTGCTGGTCCCTATGGTAATGTCTTTGACTTGACTAATACGTACTTTATTTGTGGTGGGAAAAACCATGTTATACACTGTAAAGATGTATAGTGATTAACTGTAAATAAAAAAAGAAAAATATGCTGGGCATGTGTGCACGTATGCTGAAAATCCTGAGAGAAGAATAGAGGAGAAGGGATTGCAGCATGACCATCCTCTCTGGGAGGTGACTTGTCCAGGGACCAAGTCACATTTCTTCTGCTCTAGTTCCAGGGAGGAGTGGGTGAGTATAAGTCTGTTAGGTGGGGCCTGTTAGAGGGGGCTTCTTGCTCCCCTCCCCCACCCTAGTGTCTCTCTCTCTTTCTCTCTCTGGCTGAGCATACATGTTCTATAGCAAACAAGCAAACAAACAAACAAACAAAACCATATGTTGGGTTACCAGAGACATTTTTTACTCTGTTGTGGTATACCATTACATAACCTATTCCACTTGTTTACATACATTCTTGTGTCTGTTAATCATTTGTTCCTGAAAACCCTTCTATCATTCCCCCCATGTAAGTTCTAGTAACAACTCTCTCTACTTTTATGCTATATTTTGCTTTAAAAAATATTTTTAAAAATGAACTTTTTGGAGATATATAAGTTACCTTTGATGGCCAATCCCCCCAGCTCCTCAGCCTGAGGAATCGTTAATCTGTTCTTTATGTCATTGCATAGTGATATTTGCCATTTCTAGAATTTTATATAAAGAAAATCTTTTCCTCTTAGCATAATAATGTTGATATTTATTCATGTTGTTTCAATCGTTAATAGTTTGTTTCTTTTATTGTATAATATTCCATTGTATAGATAAACTACTTAAAAATGTATTCACCTACTGAAGGGCATTTGGGTTGTCTACATTTTTTACTATTATGAATAAAGCTACTGTGAATATTCATGTACAAGGTTTTGTGTGACCAAGTTTCTTTTTTGGATAAATACCTAGGTAAGTGGTAAGTGAATGTTTAGCTTTATAAGAAACTACCAAACTGCTTTGAGAAGTGGCTGTGCCATTTTCTATTCCCATCAGTAATGTTGGGGAGTTCCTATTGCTCCATGTCTTTTTTAACAGTTGATATTGTCAGACTTTCTACTTTTGGTCATTCTATTAGGTCGTCTGAAAAATCATAATGTGTTTTTCTATGCAAAAATGCATTATGACCTTCCCAATGACCCAATAGTAGGTATATAGTCATAATTTACTGTACTTTCTTTGTTGTTTCATTTAAAAAAAAAATCCGTGAATATTAGTAGTGCCTTCTCTTGGAAAGAATTTGAGATGTGCCTCCTCAATGGTTCAGTTTCAGACTTTACTGTTTAAGTCATTTTTGCTCTGTCTGGAATTGGCCTCATCTTTAAACCCCTAGACGAAGCAATAGCCAGAGCCAATAGGCCAGTGGGTCTGAACTGAGTAGCTGTGATTCAGAGCAGCTGGTTAACCTATTGCTCATGGTCATGTCTCCTGGATACACAAATGGAGGTAGTAATTTCTTGAATTACTGACAAAGAATTGCCATTCTTGGATATCCACAGAGGTTCTCATTTATTCATTCAGTAAATACTAATTGTGTAGTTCCTATATATTGGACACTGCTCTGGATGCTGGGTTTACACCAGTGAATGGACAAAGTCCTTGCCATCATGGTGCTTATATACTATGCCAAGGGGCGACAAGACCTATAAAGAAGAATAAAATAGTAATGGGTCACATAGTTAAAAGAGCTGACATTTCATTTAACAGAAAAGGATTTTTTAAAATTTCATTTTCTTTTAAACAGTCAATCACATTATTTAGCTTACAAAGTGGATGAATATGGAAGATTTACTGCAGAGTGAAGCAAGCCAGGCTATGAAGGAGAGACATTGTATGTCCCCACTTAATATATACCGAGTGTCTGCACTCTATGACTGAAAAGAATTGACTGAAGGATATAGAGACACAGTAAATGGATGTAAATACAGATATGGTGTGTGTGAAAGAGTAGGGTTTGAGAAAAAACAATTAGAAGAAAAATGGGGAGGGAAGGATTATTTGAGGAGATGATATTCCAGCACAATGGATGATACCGTAAGTTTCTCAGCTGAGAGAGTTTACGAGAATTTGTTGGGGAGAACACCATCTTTATCTGTAATTTCATTTTTGGCTTAGCTGGATAAGAAAAGAGAAGCTAAGCAATGTAGGGTGCAGGGTCTTGGGGGCTCCTCTGCCTTATCTTCTGCAGAGCTGTTCAAAAGTCTTCTTCCCAACTGTTTATCCCAATGTGGGAATTTTTAAAAAAAATTCTTTTATTTTTTTTAAGAGAGATTTTTGCTATAGGGAGTGTGCGCTCGCAAGAGACAGAGACAGAAAGGGAAAAATCACCCCCTGGGAGAGATGGCCATGCTGCAATCTCTTCTCCTCTATTCTCCTCTTGGGATTTTGGGCATGTACACACACACATGCCCAGTGTGAGTTTTAAGCCACTGGATCCGGGACTCAAACTGCAGTCAACTACATGGGAGTCCAGCAATGTAACCATTACACCATCTGCTGGACCTGTCAGTCCAATTTCTTAATCCTGATCTTAAGCCTTTCATGATTGGTGCCTAATGACCCTTCTAGTCCCATCACTGTTCCTTCTGTCCTATCATGCTTTTCATCCTGGTTATGTTGAACCATTGTTGCTCCCAAAATGTATTACGCTCTTGTGCCTTAGATTTCTGTAGCTAATTCTTTCTCTTCCCTTACTATCCCTCTTTATCCTTCCTCCTCGAGGATGCAAGTCAGTCATTGTATTACTAGAGAAGCCTTTCCTAGCCAGTATTAGGGAAAACTATGCTGGTATTTCTCCTTAGTGTCCCCCAAACACCCCATGCATTCCTCTATGCTAGCACTTGAATGCTGCAATAAATTGTTTGTGAATGTGTCTATCTCTCTTCTAAATATAGATTTTATTAGGGACAGAATTGCAGTGCATTCCTGTATTCTTCACACAGAACCCACTATTGGTTGAGTTAAATAGCTAGACAAAAGAGAAATGGAGAGAATGATTGCATATATTAATAAATTAAGGGAAGGATGAATGAATGGCATAGTAGCTCAGTTTTCCTAGGGAGAACTTGCTTTTTACATTGAAGGTGAAAATGGCTTATGGAGGCAAGGTAGGCCCTCCACTAAGGAAAGATGTCAGGCTTGGTGTTCAGGACCTAGGTTTCATTTATCACCTCATCTGTCTCAAGCAGTAGCAAAAGTGGAATTCTCGTTCACAATGTCTTTGAAAGACAAACCTGGGAAGCCACCCTGTAAAATAACATCTTTTTTTTTTTTTTCTTTACATTGTGGGCTGGGATACATCTTTCTTTTAGGAGCTGTCAAAAATCTCCAAAGGTAAAGAAGCTCTTGAAGGCTATTGACTGTTTGAGGAGAAGTGGAAGGGCTGGGACAAACACTTTCCAAGGACAGCTAGAGCAATGTTCTAGGGAAGTTTTCTTATGGAACAGGATGGAGGGCAGTAGTAGGCTGATGAAGTCTCCTGAGAAAAGTTGGTCTAGATAGGTTGGTGAGGAGGTGAGCCAGTAGTTTTGCTTAAATCAGTTGGCATGATCTGTATAATCTTTAGCAAGTGACTTAAACAATCTGACTTTCACATCCATTTCTTCATTTCTAATGAGGAAGAAGAATCTCCCTCTTTGGATTACTATTGTTTTAAGTAAGATCATTGCCATAAAATGAAATCATTTAAAATCTACCCCAGGGTTGCTCCTGTAGCCTATTGGGTTAAGGGAGCTGGATCTCACACAGCTCATCATGTAGTTCAAATCTTGGCCCCACTGGTTTAAAAAAACCAAGTTGGGTGTGTGTGTGTATATGTGTGTGTGTGTGTGTGTGTGTGTGTGTGTGTGTATGTGTGTTCTCCAAATCCCAACAGGATGAAGTGTAGGAGAAAGGATTTTGGCATGACCATGTCCTGTTTGGACAAAGCTTTCTTTCTCTCGCTCTCTCCCTGTCTCCCTGGCAAGTGCATGTGCCTTTTAGGAAAAAAAAAAAAAAAAAAGAAAGAAGGAAAGAAATTCAGCTCAGATGATGTTCTGTCCCTCACTGCATTACTCCACTGTACTAATCCCTGTATGCTTATTGTGGAACTTACCATTATGCTGCAATGAGTTTGCTTGCATGCTTGTCTGCCCCCTATGTGGGATCCATGAAGATGGGTTGGATAGGTCTTATTTATGTGGGCATCCTCTGGACACAACTCAGAGCTCATACAAAAGATGAGGAGGGTGGATAAATGATAAGTTTCTTCTTTGCTTGTTTATGATGCTGAGAAATATAGATTATCAAGCCTGGAAGTGATGATGCTTATTCTAACGCCACCTGTAGCTCCAAAGATTCCAAATTTAGCAGGTTAATAAATAAACAGCATTTTTATGGGTAGATAAACAACTTCCAGATCAACAAACCTTGGCATAATAAGATGTCCACGTGCAAACTGGCCCAAACAGCAATGAGGAAAAGATGCAGAGGCCCCAAACAGCACGCACTGGTGAAGGAGTATAAAAGTGAGGGCCTTGGAGAGCTGTCACAGTCAGGCAGCTATCTCTCAGCACTCACAGGGAAGCAGAGAAACCTCCATCATGTCTGGCTGCTGCTGTTCTAGGAAATGCCCCTCCGTCTCTCTTTGTTCCACTGAGGTGACCTGTGGAGGGCCCATCTGCTTGCCCAGTTCCTGCCGGAGCCACACATGGCAACTGGTGACTTGTCAAGATAGCTGTGGATCATCTAGCTGTGGCCCCCAATGTTGTCAGCCCTCCTGTCCAGTGAGCAGCTGTGCTCAGCCTGTGTGCTGCGAAGCCACTGTTTGTGAGCCTTCATGCTCTGTGAGCAGTTGCTGCCAACCAGTGTGCTGCGAGACCACAGTTTGTGAACCTTCTTGCTGTGTAAGTAGCTGTGCCCAGCCTTTGTGCTGTGAGACTACCGTTTGTGAGCCTTCTTGCTCTGTAAGCAGCTGTGCCCAGCCCGTGTGCTGTGAGGCCACCGTTTGTGAACCTTCTTGCTCTGTAAGCAGCTGTGCCCAGCCTGTGTGCTGTGATGCCACTTCCTGCCAACCGGTCCTCTGTGTGGCCACTTCCTGCCAGCCCATTCTCTGTGAACCCAGCTGCTGTCAGCCAGTCATCTGTGAGCCCAGCTGCTGTTCTGCTGTCTGCACTGTGCCTAGTTCCTGCCAACCAGTAGTCTGTGAGCCTGTCTGCTGTCAGCCGGTATGCCCCACGCCTAGCTGCTGTCCATCTGCCTGCTCTGTGGCCAGTAGCAGTCAAGCTGTCTGCTGTGACCCCAGTCCCTGTGAACCGCTTTGCCCACAACCCAATGTCTGCCAGCCTGCTTCCTGTGTGACTCTGGTCTGTGAGCCTGTTTGCCTCCGCCCTGTCTGCTGTGTTCCGAGCCCTTGCGAACCACCTTGTGTTTCCAGCACTTGCCAAGAGCCTTCCTGTTGTGTCTCTAGTATCTGCCAGCCCATCTGCTCTGAGCCCAGCCCCTGCTCACCAAGTATCTGTGTGCCCCGTTCGTGCCAACCTTCCTGCTATGTAGTCAAGCGCTGTCGTTCTGTCTGCTGTGAGCCTGTTTCCTGCCCATCTACCTCCTGTCAACCTCTCTGCTGCCGCCCAGGATCTTCTGCATCTGCCACCTGCCAACCAACTTGCTCTCGCACTTTCTACATTCCAAGCTCCTGCAAACAGCCTTGCAGCACTCCAGTATCCTGCCGTCCAATTTGCCGCCCAATTTGCCGCCCAACCTGCTCTGGGCTCATCACCTACAGACAGCCCTATATGACCTCCATCTCCTACCGTCCTGCCTGTTACCGCCCATATTACTCCATCCTGCGTCGTCCGACCTGCCTCACTTCCTACTCTTATCGCCCAGTCTGTCCTCGTGTGCCTTGTGCTGAGTCTGACTCCTGTAAACGAGATTACAAGAAGTCCACCTTCAGCCAACCAGATTGTGCTGACTCAACCCCCTGCAAGGCAGAAGTCTCAGAGGAGAGTACCATCCGGACTGCTGAGGCCAAACCTACCACTCCAACTACCCATGAAGCAGCAGCCACTCAGCCAACTTCCAGCAAGCCTGCCAATTGCTGAACTGGCCTCAGCTCACCAATTCCTGCAAAGCAAGATACTGACTAGAGAGAAAATCTGAACACCTTCCCTGACCTTCATTATACTTCAGCTAGAACCTTTTTCTTTCAGTGTAATCACTGGTCATCTTTGAAGAACTCATGACAAATGTCAGTGTCTTAGTGGTCTGTGTGAAGGCCTCCTGGACACTGAGAAGGGGACTTTCTAGATTCCAGTCTTCTGCTGCCATGAGGCTGAAAAGAGTTAGTTTGCTACATCATCCTTTTTTTTTTTTTTTTTTTTTTTGGTTCTCATGCATGTGTTCCTTTGCTATGTGTGCTTATATTTCTTAGAGACTTCTTCTATGAGATAAAATATTTAACTGTTCAATAAAATTGGCTAAATTGAAGTAATATGCTGTTCTCATTACTCTTCTGAAAATGCTATATCTCATCAGGACTTGCTTTGTCTTTGAGAGTAGCCTCATCCATCCATGCCACAAGTATTACATATAGATTAGGTACCAGGGCCTGTAGGTTCTAGGAATGAAAAGACTGAAGTCTTGATTCTTAATCTCAAGGATCTAGCTCTCTGGTAGGGAAACATATGGGAAAAGAGCAATTTATTACAGTCCTTTGGGCTAAGAACTTTGATGCGGAGGTAAACACAGAGCTCTGTGGATTCAGCAGGTCCTGGGGTAACTGTGGAAGAATTCTTGGGGAATATGATGATGAAGCTGAACTTTTAGCACAAGTAGAAATTAACCAGTTACAAACAGGGGAGGAAGAACTCTCTAGGCAGAGGAAGCATGTATTAATGAATGAGACTTGTTAGCAAACCATTCATTAGGCAAAGCTTGGGAAGAGTTGTCCTTAAGAGGAGTGGTAAGCCCTGAGGTCACAACCTACCTATGCTGGGTCTTGAATACTATACAGAGGCATTTGGGTTTGGTGAAGAGCTGGCAAAAGAGTACCGAGGTGCCATATGTAAGGCAGTGACATGAACAGCACTGGGTTTTGGAATGTCTCTCTTGTCTTGGTGTGAGAACTCAATGGAGGAACATAGTCTAGGATATAGAGACACAGGGAGAAGCCAGTTGTTTTGGGGTTCACAGTGGTATGAAAACAAGTAGAGGTCATACAATAAGGAAGTTCAGGTAACCTGGATTTTTTTTTATTATTAATTTATTTTACTTGCATTCACTGAGCATCTTCACAGTATACAAAATGGAATTTCCCATCCAGAATACACTATATAGTGGTTTAATCATACATGTTATCATCAACAAATAATTTTCTATTTCTTGTTTCACATACACATATGTGTATATTTTTTGCCCCTATTTCTCACCCTCTGCTGTTTTCGACCCTCATCTCACATTGTCTCTGGTGTCTACAGTTGCTTTCCATTCCTATTACCACCACCCCACACTTTATTGATTCACAAAATACCTTAATTAATCTAACTACTTTCAATAGAAGTTTAGCAGATACATACATATCTGTCAATACATGTCTGACATTTAGGCATGAAGCTCTGAGTAGAATGAATATACTATAAAGTATCACCTAGCTGATGCTATATAGTTTACTGTGGTCATTAAATAGGTATTTTTAACATACTTTTTAATGTCAAGGAAAGCAATGTTAGCTTTAAGAAATAAAAAAAGAAAAAAGAAGGCCAAGAGAGCTTTGTTTAAAACTTAAAGCCAGGAAACAGGTTAGGATTCTGTTCAAATAGGTGCATGAACCTATCGGCAGCTCAAGACAAGACAAAAATCCTTAAATCTGGAAAACAAAGTATAGAAGAAAATTAGTAATGTTTTAGTCAAAATTCAAGATTCTATTTCCCCAGTTCAGTCTCATGTACTTTATCTTCTGTTGTGGTCTGATCTTCCTGTTTAAACTCTGGAACATAACCCTCAACTCCAGATTTGTCCCTACCATTGTCATTATCTTAGTTATTATTGAACTTGTTTTTTTTGTGAGAGATTTTTGCTGAAAGGTGCATGTACTCACCAGAAAGACAGAGAGAGACAGAGAGACAGAAAATGAGAAATAACCTCCCAGGGAGGATGGTAAGGCCACAATCTCTTCTCCTCCATTCTCCTCTTGGGATCTTGGGCACACATGCACACAAAGCCGGCGAGAGTTTAAGCCACTGGGTCTGGGACTCAAACTGCAGTCGACTACATGGGAGTCCAGCGATGTAGCCATTATGCCATCTATTGGTCCCTGTTATTGAATTCTTATTTCTGTGTGTCTGTATTTAGTTTTCCTAGTATTTGGTCTGATGTTGGTAAGTTCTTTCAGGTTTTGTTTATCTGAGAATGTTCTTGTCTTTCCTTCCCATACGAAGGATAATCTTGCCGGGTATAGTATTCTTGGTAGAAGTTGTTTTTCCCTTAACACTTTGAATATATTTTCCCATCCTTTCCTTGCTTGCATTGTTTTTGATGAGAAGTCTGCTGTTAGCCTGATTGGATATCCTTTGTAGGTAACTTGATGTTTCTCTCTTGCCAATCTTAGTATCTTGTCTTTGTCTGTGGTTTTGGTCAATCTGGCTATAATGTGTCTTGGAGAAGATCTCCTTGTGTTATTTGGGGTCCTTTGTATTTCTTGGGACTTGATCTTTGAATGTCTCTCTTGGTTTGGAAAGTTTTCTTCCAGGATTTTATGGAATAGATTATCAATGCCTTTATTAGTCTCTTCACCTTCTAGTATACCGTTTATCTGGATGTTTAGATGTTTAATGGAACCTAGTATTTCTTGTATATTATTTTCATTTTTTTTGGCTCTTTTCTCAGTCCTCGTGGTAAATTTTTCTAGGCTAGTGATTCTGTCTTCTACATCTGAGATTCGATCCTTTGTATGATCTAGTCTGCTTTAAATACTTTCAAGGGAGGTTTTGATTTCTTGTATAACAGCTTTCATCTCTAGCAGCTCCATTAGATTCTTTTTTATGGTGTGTATTTCTGCTTTCAGATTGTGCAAGAACTTCTTCACCTCCTGGAAATTGATGGCTCTTTTCTCCTGTGTCTTCTGGAGGTCATTGTCTCTCTTCTCTTGCACCTCTGTTAGCTTTGTCATTATGAATATTCTAAATTCTTTATCTGACATTTCCATGAGTTCCATTGTACTGTCTATAGATAAAGAGGAGTTATCCTTTTTCCCTTGGAGGAGAGATATTTTCTTGCTTTCTCATATTTCTTGTGTCCTTGCTGTGATTTCTCATCATCTAATGAATTTTGCATTTCTTTCTAATTTTTGAAGTTCAATCTGAGCATTTAGCGGTGTGCTGAAAGAGGTGATCTGCAATCTCCCTTCTGCTGAGTTTCTCACTCTTTGTGAGTCAGGTTCAGTGGAAATTGAGGAATATTCTGACCCTAATAGTAATCAGATGTTTGGATGCTGTTCACTTAGACCCATCTAGACACTTAGTGCATAAAAAAATTTAAAAAAATGAAGAGACACAGGAAGACACAGAGAGACAGAGAGAAGAATACAGAGGTTGCCCTACCAATCTAAGAGTGAATCTGGAGGCAGAAGTTTCAGCAGAACATCTTCATTTTTAGTCCCTGAAAGCAGTATTTCACAGCTGAAGTTCAGTGGCCATCTCAGAATCCCCTGGATTTTTTGTTTAAGTATTTTCCTTATGTGATCCTAATCCCTAGAAGACATTCCATGCAGATTTTCTTATAATTTCCAGAGACAGTCTCTTCAAAGCATTTACTTCCTGCCCTTAGTGCACAGGATGGAGGTCTAAAACTTGTCCTCAAAGTGTACCTTGGGTCATCGCAAACACAGAACAAAATTTCTCAACTTTGACACTACTGACAGTTAAGGTTAGATAATTCTTTGATGTGGGGGCTGTCCTATACATTATAAGATGTTGAGTATCATCCCTGACCTCTACTATCTAGATGTCAATAGCATCCTTTGAGTGCGATGACCAAAAATGTCTCTAGATTTTGTGAAACATCCTTGGGGTTACAAAAAATACCCGTTTGAGAACTGCTAGATTATACAATAGCAGAGAGAAAGCTGAAAGTGAAACTTATCCTGAACGCTCATGTTGGAATTACTGTCTCATCAAGCCATTGTTTGGTTTCTTTTGAAGAGGTTTTTGCTATAGGGTGTGTGCGCTCGCCAGACAGAGAGACAGAGAGACAGAAAGCGGGAAATCACCCCCAAGGAGGGAAGGCTACGCCACAATTCCTTCTCCTCCATTGGAAGGGGTTGATTTAATAGAGTTGATTTAGTGCAATGATACTCTTATATCACTTCTGGTTGCGTTTATATACTTATCAAATTAATATGCTGCTGATTCCATAGTATAAATTAATCCTTCCTGATGAAATATTTTGCTGTTTTAATTTTTTTTTTTGAATTTAAAGATTGTCTTCAGGTGTACTGAAAAGTAGAGACACTCACAGCGTTTTGATGTTGCTGATGGTTCCAGTCACTGGAGTGAGCAGACAATCCCTGATGTGGGGCCTGGGCAGTGTGCTGAGGAGCCAGCATGTAGCCTTCAATGTTAGCCTTGAATCACTATAGTAGAGTCCCCCTTTCTCCACCTCTTCAAAGTCATCAGATCTGTCCCTTGTTATTATCCCTTATCCTTTGCATACTTTTGAGAATATGTTTAAACTCTTTGAGTTAAAATTTCACCACTTCTAACATGATGATAGTTACACTGAGGTCATTGTGAAGAGTCAATGGAACATACAATTGAGGGCTTGTTATACAGTGAGTATGTGATAAGTGAAAGAGATGACTATTAACAGTACTAGTAGAGGCAAGTTTCAGGAAAGGGAGATGAGAAATTACAAAAAGTGGTAGAGACACTAAAATGTCTGTGGTTTCTACTGACTGATTTTTAGATCCCTGTCCTTAATACCCTCTCCCACAGTTGGGTCAGAGCTTCATTTCCTGATTGAATGGTGCACAGCTGCATTCCTGAAGGAAGCAGAGGGTTGCTTTGGCTTGGTGGAGGCCTCCTGATGAGAGGTTAGTCGGAGGTTAAAGGAGGAGAAGGCCTGTTTCGGTGAAACTGGGGAACAGCTTGTAAAAGAGCTCATCTCAGAGCAGGAGCTGTATCAATGAATCCAAATTCGGGAAAGAAAACTTCCAACTCAACAGACTTTATTTTAACTGGGGACATCGCCCAAGCTCCTGAAGCCTGCTAATCAGATGTTTGCATGCAAATGAGTAAAAACAATAACAAGGAAAGATGCTATATGTCATGCCAACACATCTAGAAGAGGGCTATAAAAACCCCTATGTGTTAGATGTCTTTCAAACTCAGGTATACTGAGTTTGAACTCCAACTTGCAACTCCACAGCTAGGTCAGCTCCAGTACCATGGAAGAAAGCTGTTGTCCTGGACACTCCACAGCTATGTCCACCACTGCCATATGCCCGAAAAGTGGCAACTTCCAAAACGCAATCTGTTTGCCCAGTTCCTGCCAGTGCAGGACATGGCAACTGGTCACATGCCAAGAAAATTGTCAGCCATCTAACAGCGTACCAAGTAGCTGTGAACCTGCTTCTTGTCAACCTATCTGCCTTGCAAGAACTTCTCTTGTGGGTTTTGCCTGCCAACCTATGTGCTCTTGTGCAGCCTGCTGTGAATCTGACAGTAGTCCGTCATCTCATCCGGCTAGCTCATGCCAGCCACCCTGTTCGGATTCTACCGATTGTCAGGCAAACTGCTGTGATGAGAGCCCCTGCCAACAAAGCTCTTGTCAGGACTCAGTCAGCATGTCTAGACCAAGCCAGACAGCTTGTGGCCAATCGGTGTGCTGTGATGCTAAGTCCTGCCAGCCATCTTGCTCTGAAGTGACTTCCTGTCCTGAAACATCTTGCCCATCAATCAGCTGTGCAGTTAGTGCATGCCAACCAACTTTTTGCCATGGATGTTCATGTCAGTCCGTTGGTGGTGAAGGCCAGTTCTGCAAATCAACTTATTACCAACCTATCTGCTACATTTTTAAGCCTTGCCAATCAGTTTCCTGCATGCCTTCTCCCTGCCAGCCATCACCTTTGGTGTTCTGTTCTTACAATCCTACGTGTGTGTCTGCTCTTTGCCAGCCACTTTACTGTGAACCAGCTTCTTCCATATCCTTGAACCCTCAGCTAATGGCTAACTGTCAATTTTGTTCCAAAAAGAGCTCTTGCAAACAAGTTTCCTGTGGCACCGTGCTTTCTAGCCAATCAACTTGTTGTGGACCCACTTCCTACAATCAAAGTGACTGTAAATCTCCTTCCTACCAACCAACTTGCTGTGTGACAGGTTTAGGCAAATCATCAGCTTTAGTGGCAACAGTTGCTTCCAACCTACTTCCTGAAGACTATGCAAAGCAAGTATCTGCTTGTTAACTTCCTGAGAACACAGCAATGAGTCCAGCTTCTATAAGGCACCACTTGGCTGGTGGAGCACTCTTTTGTTTTCACCTGAAGGTCTGCCACTGTCTACAAGTGCATAGCCACCCATGGGTGACTGACTCTGGCTGAACACATCAGCTGCTTACCCTCGGACTTTACTCTGAGTCCAGCCCTACCTTCTTTCCAAGTGCTGGGGATCCTTCTTAACCCCTTGGTCCACATTAACTTGCATTTCCTGATATTGTCAGTTCATTTCATTGTAGCAAAACCTTCACTCCAGTTTTCTTTCTTTTATACTAGTCTTTCAGAAGACCTCTTTGCTGCCAGCTGCTAATAAAAATGTGACTAGTGAAGTATAATGAATGACTCTCAGAGTGCCCTCATTCCTTTCAGTAAACCCCTACATAGATTTTCTTCAGGTCACATTTGAACACAGAGATCCTGGACTCCAAGTCAATGGGACTGTAATGGTTTGCAAAGGTAGTTGGTGTACGGAATTATAGAAGCTTAAACTGGAAGGGAGTAAAAACAGAGTTCATTGGCTTCTAATTATTTTCCCACCAAGAACTCTTCTGAGCTGAGCAGCCTCAGTTTCTCCATAATGAATAGACTTGGAAAGGCAAAAAGAGAAATGGTTTAAGGAAATCCTTGATTAAAGTGAACAGAAAGTATGCCATAGAAAATTGCTTAGGGTGAATTCATTTATCATCAATTCACCTCATGGTCAATTTAAATAGCACTTAAAACTCTTTGGATGGGGGGGAGTAGTTTCTTTTGTTTTCTCTGTTTTACACATTGTAAGAGATAGTTTTTGCCTTTGTTTTTATTTGCCAGATGGCATGTGCACTAGCCAGAGAAAGAGAGAAAAAGATGAAGAGGGAAAAAGCACTCTCCAATGGAGTGTAGTCATATAGCAATCCCTTTTCTTTCATTTCTCTATCCTGTTGGGATTGTGACTAGACATATCAAAACTGGATATGAGGGGGCCAGCAGGTGTCGGGGTGGTTAAGGACGCTGGACTCTCACATGGCTGACCATGGTTTGAGTCCTAGACCTGGAGGCTTGCTTTCTCACTTTCCCTTTCTCTCTCTTTCTGTGTCTCTTTCTGAAAATATTAAAATAATAATAATAATAATAATAATAATAATAAAAGTTAAATAAAACTTTAAAAACACAAAAATGCACTCTATGAGCACAATGGAATGACTAAAGGATACAGAAACATAGTGGTGGTGAATACCAGATGCAGTGTGGGAGGAGGATGGGTGAAGGAAGGAAGAAGGTGGGTGAAAGAGTAGAGTCTGAGGAAGGACATTAAGGAGAAAAATAGAGAGGCAAAGCATTTACGGGACAAAGAAATGGGTTATTATCTGTTAACGATAACTTTACAGGATTTTCAATTGGACCAGTCAGAAATGTACACATGTTGGAATATTCACTTTGCAAGCTAAATAACATGACTGAAAGTATGAAAGAAATTGAAATAAAAATAAATAACTAAATAAAATATTTACTTTATAAGTATTAAACTGGCAAAAAAAATGCAGTGTCAGAGTTTAATAAACTTTTTCTGTTAGAGAAAGGTAGTAAATGGCTTAGGGTTCATGAAGCATATGATCTCTGTTGTTATGGCTAAATTTTGCCATTGTATCATGAAAGAAAGCATCTGTAGAAATGTATAAACAAGTGTGGCTGATTTCTAACAAACTTTCTTTATAGAAATAGGCTGTGTGCTCTATTTGGCTCATGGACCATATTTTTCTGACTCCTGTCATATAACCCTGTCACATAACTCCTCCCTATATAATCCAGGTTTTCATGGGGGTGTAAGTTTATAGGAATCCTTCTGCATCACTACCAGGGTTGTTGGTTTATTTGGGCATTTTAAAAAAGCATCTAAATCTGTTGATGTAAATTACAAAAATGCATGCCCCTTAATCCAACAATCTTGTACCTGCTCATCAGATGTTTGCAGGCAAATGAGTAATAACAATAAGAAGAAAAGACAAAATAAATTGCAAAACATTCTTACAAAGGTCTAGGAGGACACATATGAAGATGTGCACTGTAGTGTTTGTGTGATGGCATGCATCTTTTTTATTAAAGAATTATTTATTTATTTTTATTTATTCATTTGTTTATTTTGATTTGACCAGAGAGAGATACAGAGAGAGAGACACAGAGAGAGAGAGAAAGAGAGAGAAAAGAGAGAAAGCAAGCCACCAGCTCCGGATCTTGAACAGTGGTTGCCATGTGGAAGTGTCCAGCTCCTTTACTACCATGCCATCTTCTGGACCTGATGACATGGATTTTTAAAGGGCATCTAGTGTCCACCACAGAAAAAGTGAGTAGGCAACATGTAGTGGATCCTTATGTGGAGTAACATATCAGAATTAGAAGCAATAGATGACATACACAAATAGCTGCATAGATAGATAATAATAACATTCTGATTAAAAGAATCAGAATGGGATATAATGCACATTACTATTTGCATAAAGTACATGTGTACCAAACAATCAAACACAATAAACACTTTAATGCATTGACAGAGGAGAATAGCTGCCTATTGGAAAACAGTGGAGCATAGGGAAATAGGAAATAAATTTATCAATATATAAGTACATAAAGAAAATAAATAGAGAGGGGCTTTGTAAACACCACAGACGATAATGTCCCATAAAATAAAGAATATAACTGACTGAATATGTGCACTTGAATTCCACAGTGAAAAAATATAAAGAAGAAAGGAAGAAAGACCTTGACAAAGGAATTACGGTGGATGGAATGTTTTCCAGAAATTACATCTAATAGATGCTCTGTTTAAATTCCCTTCTCTACTTCTTTCACAGAGATCTCAGTCATGCTAGAGAAGGGATGAGCTGTGTTAGCACTGGACAGGATTTTCAACGATGTTCCTTACATTACAAGCAGATGTACACATTGCTTGAGGAATTACATCTTAAATAATTTGTTTATTAATATCAGAATTTACATTTTGTAGGTCTTTTTTTTTTTTTTTTTTTTGTTTTTTGACCACTGTAGGTCTGTAAGTGTATTTTATCCTTTTTAAAAATTTGCGGGAGGGCACATGTTGAACTCCCTGGTGATTATTGTGTTGCAATCTATCTTTTCCTTGAAATTTCAGTCTCTTTTTCATGTATTTGAGTGTTCTAGTGTTAAATGTATAGATATTTATGTGGTATATCTTCTTGGTGAAAAAGTTCTTTTAGTACATATAATGTCCTTCTTTGTCTCTTCTTACATCCCCACACCCCCCTCCTTTTTTGTCTCTTCTTACACCCCCCCCCCCCCCGAGAGATTTTTTGCTATAGGGCAAGAATGCACTTGCCTGGAGAGACAGAAAGAGACAGAAAACAAGAAATCATCCCCCAGGGGGATGGCCACACCAGAATCCTTCCTCCTTTCTCCTCTCAGGATCTTGGGCATGCATGCACAAGTGCTGGCATGTGTTTCAGACTTCCAAGTCAAGGACTCGGACCACGGTCAGCCATGTGGGAGTCCAGTGACATAACCATTATGCCATCTGCTGTTCCCACAGCTTTCATCTTAAAGTCTATTTTGTTTAATATCAGTATCACAACTCCAGTCTTTTTTTCTTTTTGGTTTCTATTTGAATGGAATATCTTTTTTTCAGCCTTTCACTTTGAGTCTATGTATAATTTTATCCATGAGATGTGTTTCTTGTAATCAACATATAGAGAGCTTCTGTTTTTTAATCCATTCTGCCAGTCTGCAACTTTTAACAGGAGAATTTATTCCATTAACAGTCAATATTATTATTGATATTTACAGACTTAACCCTGCTATTTTGTTAGACATTTTCTTGGTTGTTCTTTGTTCTTACTTCTGTTTGTCTCTATTTATTTATTTTTTCTGATATAATACTCTCTCTTGTAGCATTGGTCTAGCATTGATGGATTCTTTTAGTTTTTGTTTTTCTGAAAATACCTTTGTTTGTTCTTCCCGTTTGAAGGATAATCTTGCTGGGTAAAGTATTCTTGGTTGAAATGGTTTTCTTTTAATGTTTTAACCACATCTTCCCATTCTTTCTTTGCCTCCATTGTTTCATTTGAATTGTGTGATGTTAACCTAATGGGATAATCTTTACAAGTAAATTGATATTTCTCTCTTGCCATTTTTAGAATATTGTGTTTATCTTATTTTTACCGATTTGGCTATAATGTGCCAGGGGGAGGATATTTATTAGTTGATTCTATTTGGAGTTCTTTTTATTTCTTGGGTCTGAATTTCTCCATGTTTCTCTAGATTTGGAAAGTTTTCAGATAGTATTTCATGAAAGATGTTTTCCATGCCTTTACTAGCTTCTTCATCTTCTAGAATATCCATTATATAAATATTTGGTGTTTCATGGTGTCTAGAATTTCCTATATCTTATCTTCATTTTGCGGGGAGAGGGTTATGTTCTTTTTGGTCATTTGGTCTATGTTGGAGACTTTGTCTTCAAGGTCAAAAATTCTTCAACATGGTCCAATTTGTTTTTAATGCTTTCTAGGGATATTGTAATTTTTGTATTTTTTTTATTTCTTGCAAGGCTGTGGTGCAAAGGGAACTCTCCTACACTGTTGGTAGGCATGTAAATTAGTTCAACCAGTGTGGAAAATGATATGGAGATTCCTCAGAAACCTACAAATAGAATTACCATATGACCAAGTAATTTCACTCTTAGGTATCGACCCAGAGGATAGGAAAACCCTCAGTCAGAAAAACACCTGCACATTCATGTATATTGCAGCATTATTTATAATTGCTAGGACATGGAATCAACCCGTGTCCAAAAATAGAATAGTGGATTGAAAAAATGTGGCATATGTACTCTGTGGACTACTATTCAGTCATAGAAACAATGAGACCATGACATTTGACCAAAGTGGACAGATATTCAAGATTTAATTAATGCTAAGTGAACAAGCCAGACTACGAAATACAGGATTTGTATGTCTCTGCTCAGTATATACCAAATATCTGTGTTTTATGGCAAAACTTAAAGGATTGGAAGTATAATAGCAGGGAGGCCAACTGCAAATACTAGAGACAGTTTGGGGGTGGTAGGGGTAATGGGATATGTAATACAAGGAGGGAAGAAAGGAAACAGGGAAAAGACAAACAAAAAATACATTCAATTAAAACAAAACTGAAAAGTAATTTGCTGACAATAATGTCTATGGTAATGTCATTGTTTTGACTGATATACAATATATTCATGCTAGGATAAACCATGTTGTACATTGTTAAGATATACAGAGACTAAATACAAATACCATAATAAATATATAAAAAAAGAAATAGGGTATTTGCAGATATAATTAGTTAAAAGTAGGTTTCATTGGATTAAGGTGAGCCCTAAATCTGATGACTATTCCTGTAGTAGATACATGAATAAATATGCACATAGAGAAGGTCATGTGATGATGGAAACCAAGACTGGAATGACATAGCTACAAACCAAGGAACCCCAAGTATTGCCTGCAACTAAGAAGCTGAGAGAGTAACATGAACAGAAACAAATTCTTCCTGAAAACCTCTAAGAAGGAACCAATCCTGACCCCTCTGGAATCGGAAAATATTTGGGAGTATTCTTATTTGCGACAGAATGGTTACTTGCATAAGTTCAATAATATCTGTTGCCTTGCATCAGAAATTGAAAATACTGGTTAAATCGATTAGTATTCTTGAGTTTTTAGTATCTACCTACTGTTTGAACAGAATCCTAACCTTTTTACTGGCTTTAAGTTTTAAATGAATTTTTCTTAACATTTTTAAATTTTGATTTATTAAAGCTAAAACTGCTTTTCTTTTCATTTTCTTTTTTTTTCCTTTCTTTTCTTTCTTTCTTTCTTTTTTTTTTTTTGAGAGGTTTTTGCTATAAGGCATGTGTGCTCGCCAGAAAGACAGAGAAAGACAGAAAGTGAGAAATCACCTCCCAGGGGAGATGGCCACGCCACAATTCCTTCTCCTCCATTCTCCTCTCAGGATATTGGCATGTACACACATGCTCCTGGTGTGAGTTTAAGCCACTAGGTCCGGGATTCAAACCACGGTCGGCTACATGGGAGTCCAGTCACATAGCCATTATGCCAACCGCTGGTCCCCAAACTGCTTTTCTTGAAATTAAAAATACATTAAAAATATCAATTTAATGACTGCAGTAAGCTATATAGCCACTGCTAGGTGCTACTTTATAGTATGTTCATTCTACTCACTGAATTTTATGCCTAAAGTCATACATGTGTTCATAGATTTGTATATATCATCTGCACTTGCTATTGAAAGTATTTAGATTAATTAAGATCTTTTGTGAATCAATAAAATGTGAAAAATAAATAAATAAAGGGGGAAAAAGAAACAAATCCTGGCAAATTGCCATTGAATTCAATCTGTATTTCTGCAATCTTTTCATAAGATATTATTAGAGCCCTTTTCTATTGTAGTACAGGTCTTTGTCTTCATTTTCTGTTGTATTCATTTATCAACTATCTAACCAAAAAAAAGTTAAATGATTTGATGTGACTTTGCCTAAGTGGTCTCACATTTTATCTTTTTACAAGGTACTCACAAAGAATCCTTTGAACAATACATCCTAGAATCATTTCTTTCTGAGAGAAGATCAGACATATAGGTGCACAACTTGCAGAAACTTGAAAAACACGAATGATATTTGCTTGTCTCAACACATGGAACATCTCTTATTTTCTAAGATTCCTTAAATATCAATGTGTGGCTTGCTTTCAGTTTCTAGCCTTTCTGAGATGCAATACGTACAGATACAGTGTTAAGAATTTAGAGAACTTAAGTATTTGTAAAATTGATTTGTCAATATAAATGTTTAGTCATTTTTCCAACTCAACCTTTGCTCATTGTCTAAAAAGATAAACCATAAATATGAATATTTCTAGCATAATCTTCACATTCTTCATGTCATATTCCACAGTAAGATCTCATATCTAATGTCAATCTCTGGTCTCAGCATGAACTAAGGAAGCCACGTTCCTTTTATAAGCCTAGGTTTTCTTTGCCAGATACTCAAATGTCTGCAGTTCTTGAATTATGTGTTGTATGAGGGGTAGATGCAAACATATGAAAAAAATCGCAGAATCACATTGAGGAGCTTTAAACTTCTCTTGGTAGTTCTAATTATCCTTATTCAGATAATAATAAATTAAAATCTCTCTCTCTCACTTTTGCAAGTTTTCCCATTTCAGTACAAAGGAAATATTTTCATGTTTTTTTTTTTTTTTTTTGTAAAAAGAACTGGTAGTTGGGGCCAGCAGATGGCGTAGTGGTTACATCACTGGACCCCCAGAGGGCTGACCATGGCCATGAGTCCCTGATTGGTGGCTTGAAATTCACATTGGGTACATGTGCACATGTGCCCAAGATCCCAGGAGGAGAATGGAGGAGAAGGGATTGCCTTGTGGCCATCCCCTCTGGGGGATGATTTCTCACTCTCTCTCTCCCCCCACCCCCAGCGAGCACATGTGCCCTATGGCAAAAGCTTCTTAAAAACAAAAAAGTAACCCTTACTTAAGGGGGAAAACAATGTATGAACAAAAAGTAAAAAGCCCTAGTCCTCCAACACCTCACCCAAATCCCATCCCTCTGGGGCAATTACTAGTTACTGTGTATTATGCCCTCATCTTCATTTTCTCTCTCTCTCTCTCTCTTTTTTTTAAACTGTGGCTGGGTCATTTGACCTATTATTTTATTTACTTATTTATTTATTTTTTCTCCTTTTTAAACAATTATTTACACATTCAATTGCCACACATCATTTAGATTGTAGAGACTTTACCCAGCATGATCTACTATACCCAACCCAGTTGAGAATACTATATACATCTTTATCAACAGATAATAAATCTTACCTGTGTCCCACAAATGTCTTTCCCTTCTATTTTATTCCCAAATTTCCTTTCCTATGCTCTTCCCTTCCCACACTGTCCTTCCACTTTGTCTCTAGTGTCCATAACAATTTTTAATGCTTGTAAGTAAAGATGGTTACTTATTATCCCCATTTGAAAGATGAAAGGAAAATAAAAGGAGCATTGCTGTATCTTAAGCACAACTCTAAGATTATCAACACAAAGTAATAGACTTTTTTTCCTGTTTGATGGCATCTTCACTTTCCTTACAATCATTTTATTTAAAAACACACTTCCATTTTATTTTTATTTTACTTATTTATTTATGCCAACCTCAGAATATTCAGAGCATCCTTTATTCTTTTCATGGGTTTTCACTATTTTCACTTAATGACTAGTTCATTAACTTATTTTCTTTCTTTTTTGGGGGAGAGGTTTTTCATGGACTTATTTTCTAAGGTTAAATCTTTGAAAGTGCAGATATATTGTTGTTGTTGTTTTTTATCTACGAAGATATAAATTACATATGACTCAAGCTAGTATTTTCTACTTGGCCTTTTCCAATCAAATCCTAGTGTACACCTCCTTATAACTCTCTCTGGTATCTTTATATACTGAAAACTATTTTAGAAGATACTAAGATCACACACAGGAAAGTATTTTAAAGGGAATTAAGACAACTTAAGTAATCTTTTCTGCTCATTCTATTCTTTTAGAATAGAATTTATCTGTACTTTTCCCAATTGTTTTGGTATTTATTCAATGATTAGGGCACACATTAGGGTTGTTCTGCGACATTCCATTTCTGAAGGGCGAAACCTATGAGTTGTCTTATTTTTCTCAAATGCGAGATTGACATAGTGGGTTTTGATAAAAAAGATTAAGGGACAGAAGAACCTGTGTGGTGATTGAGACAGGCTCTTGAAAGCCAACTTTGAAACTACAGGCTAGTAAAGGGTTATCTCAGTGGTATAACCTAGGAAAATAGAATGGAAATGGACATCTGAGACAGAAAAATGGCCTCCAAAATATGTGTAAAGAATCTACAAGTTAGATTTCAAACATGACATGAAATATGCCCGTCTGTGTGGTGTAGGACATTCGATGTTACGCATGCTGGCCTCATTAGTTTGTCCACATAAATAGATTTGTTGTATAACAGTAATCCCATCATGTCCAGTGATAAATTTCCTCTTATAACCCGCTTTATCAGGAATGTCTCAGGAAGGTCCTGAACCTGGCTGGAACTGCAGAAATATTTGGTGATTGTATGTGGAGAGCGATCCAAGGGGGCATTGCTGGACACCAGGCTGACTGTAGCTGCCAAGTCCTAATGGCCGGATCCCGTAGCTCATCCCCTCACACTCACCTTTGTACCTTAGGTTTGTGTCTTGGGATTTTAACGAACTTGTGCCCCTCCCCACCTCATCTGGAGACCAGTTCAAGTGGCATTGCTAGACACCAGGCTGCCTGTGGCTGCAGGCCCTAACAGCCGGAATCCGGGGTTCATCCCCTCCCCCTCATTAGCCTTTGGACCTCAGGTTTGTGTCTTGGGACTTTCAGATGAACTTGCGCCCCTCCCCACCCCATCCAGAGACTGGTTCAAATGGCATTGCCTGACACTAGGTTGCCTGTGGCTGCAGGACCTAACAGCTAGGACCCATGGCTCATCACCACCACCCCTACCCCATCTTTGGATCTCAGGATTATGTCTTGGGACTTTAAGATGAACTTGCACCCCTCTTCACCCCATCTGGAGACCGGTTCAAGCTGTACTGCTGGACAACAGGCTGCCTGTGGCTGCAGGCCTTAATGGCTGGGACTTGTGGCTCATATCCCCTCCACTTGCCTTTGGATTCTCAGAACTTCTGTGTTCTGAACAGCACAATCTTTTATTTGCTCTTGAGGCGAAGCTTATTAGCTCAGTTGGAGGCTCACCACTCCTTAGAAACGGAGGACTTTGGGTCACCCAGCAGGATCTGTGATAACCGTGCATGTTGGGTAAATTCTTTTTACGAGCCAAGTGATATATAGTGATTGAATGTTTAAAAAATAATGAGAATAAAAATAATAATAATAACCTGGAAAAAATGATGAAAAGCTATTTGATGATGATGATGTGGATAGTAATGTCTTGTCTCGACTGATATGCATAGTGTTCCTTCTGGAAACAGAAATGTAATACAGTGTAAGGATATATTTGATTCAATATAATATAAACAAGATCATGATGTAAATAAATAAAATAAACATTTGGTGATTGTGATTTTTATGATAAATTTTCCAGAGCTGTTGAAAACAAAATTGGAGTGTTGCTAGTTTAACTATTTTTTAAGTCTATTTTTATTTCTTTCTTTCATGAAATAAAGTGAAGGAAGTATCCTGAACAGAGTCTCACCATATCCTAATTCTTCCCCCAGATTCCCAGTTGGCGAGACCGTTGGTGAGTGTGATCACACCCAGAGTGCTCAGGTTGACTTGATATCCGAACCTGAGTCTCCCAGATGGCTCCTGTATCATGAAGTCATGCCCTACTACCTGTGCCACTGCAATTAGACCTATTTAAAGACTTTTAAAAGTCTATTTTATTAAATTGTGGTTCTTTAGATGGGCTCTTTTCTTATACTCTAAGGCAGCCTCATATGGGATCCATAGTTCAAACCCAGTGTTTTAAAAATTTGTTATCTTAGTGGTGTGGAATAGATGTAAAAGAACTTTGTAAACAATAAGATATTCCTTAAATCCAAGGCGTATGAAAGACACACTGTACACATAATCCAGGTCACAGAAGGATATATAAGGTAAGTATAGTTTATTAGGAGGTAATTTAGAAATATTTTAGTTGCAAAGGAGATAATTCAAAATGACCATAGAGAGGAGAGGACAGATTATAAACACAATGAAGACGTTGGAAGGGAGATATGTTAGAGATGGCAAAATGAATCAATATTAAGACAATCAGCAAGGGCAGAAGACAGGTGTGGAGGATCTCTTGCATATCCAATATTTTTCTAATTTTATTTTATTTTTAATTTACATTTAATCACTGTACATCTTTACATTGTACAACATGGTTTTTCTTAGCATGAATATGGTACATATTGGTCAAGTCAAAGACATTATCATATACATTATCATCAACAGATAACTTTTCACTTTTGTGTCTATTAAATGTTTTATTTGTTGTCTCTTCTTCAGAATATATGACTCACACTTTGGGGAGCTACATTTATATCCACTGTGGCTTTTAGGAGTGTTCAATTTCTTTTATTTTTTCCTCCTCAAATCCTTCTGTTTCCTGCTAACACTCTGGTGCTGAAGCAGATTCAACTTTGCCTTACAACATCCAGAGATTATTTAGATAAAAAAGTTATATACCCATTCCTCAGATACTTCAATTTCTAAGATTGTATAAGAATATAATATCCTTACCTCACACTAAGGATTAATAACCAGGATGTATAAAGAATTCAAGCAGCTCACCTGTAAAAAAATGAATAATCCAATTAAAAAATGAGCAAGTGAGGTGAATACAAAACTCTCTAAGGAAGACATGGCCAAAAGATATATGGAAAAATATTCAAGGTCTCTCTCTCTCTATCTCCTTTTTTTTTTTTTTCTACATTATTTGCCATAAGGCACATGTACTTGCTTGAGGAGGGAGAGGGAGAGAGAGAGAAAGAGAAAGAGAGAAAGAGAGAGAGAGAGAGAAAGCAATCCTTCAAGGCTGGAATGGCCATGCCATAATCCCTTCTCCATACTCTTCTTGAGATTTTGGACACACATGCACGTGTGCTTGGCATATTTTCAGACTACTGGGTCTGGGACTCATACTGAGAAGTCAGCCATATGGGATCCAGTACCTTAACCTCTAACCTCTATACCACCTGCTAAACCCAAAGTCTCTTGTTGTAAAGGAAAAGCAAATTAAAATCTCAATAAGTTACCATTTAACCCTTGTTAGAATGACTAGGTTAAAAAAATAAAGAATGACAAGTGCTGGTGAGGCTATGTTTAAAAGGGAACCCTCTTTACACTGTTGGTGGGAATGTAAATTACTGTAACCACTGTAGAAAACAATAAGGAGGTTCCTCAAAAACCTACAAATAGAACTACCATATGATTACCTAGTAATTCTACTCCTTGGTATTTACCTAAAGGATAAGAAAACAGTCAGAAAAACACTTACATATTCATGTTTACAGCAGTATGACTCATAATTGCTAAGAAAAAATCAACCCAAGTGTCCAAGAGCTGATGACTATTAAAAAAAAAATCGTGGCACATAAATTCCATGAAATACTACTAGGCCATGAGGAACAATGAGACTTCGGCATTCAATTCAAAGTGGATGAATATAAAAGACTTAATGTTAAGTGAAGTGAGCCAGACTTTGAAAGACACACACTATACATTGCCACTCAATATGCGCTGAATGTCTACACTCTATGGCAGAGATTGAAAGATCCAAAGATATGATAGTAGAGAGGATACATTTAGATACCAGAGTCTTTAAGGAAAGAG